CGGGGCTGCCCGGGCCGGCGGGCGTCCTTACTCGGGCACGGACTTGGAGGACATCTCCCTCGGGAAGGCCAGCTGGTACTTGAGGCTCTCCACCTCCTTCTTCATCTGGGGCACATCCCACTCCTCCATGGCGTCGGGGGCTTCCGTGGTGGCCAGCTTGAGCTGAGGTGCAGCAGAAGGCGGTCCCAGCTGCCAGTGTCAGTCACCGCCCTCCCTTCTCCCACTGGCGGGAGCCCCAGGGCATGGACTATGGCCCTGCCTGGGGAGGTCCCTGTGCTGGGCCGCTCACAGTCCCTCCCCAGGAACAGGCAGGCAGTGCCAGGGTGCTGGCCCAAGTTGGTCCCACAAGGACCCATTAACGCCCTGGCACCCTTTCCCCAAAGGGGCTGATTAACTGCAGAGGACACTTTCCATTGTCTGGCATTCCCATTCGGCTGACCAAGACCCAGCCTCCAGCCCGGGGACCATGGAGCATTGTCACCATCCCAGCCACACAGCCACAGCCCTGCCCCAGCTTCCCGAGTAGGGTGTTAGGAGGCACTGCCTGCCCTCTGCTTTGCATGGCTCAGCCTAGGCCGGGAGGATTTGGCTGTGTTTGCATCTGCCAGGTGTGGGGTACAGCCAGGTGTGGGGTGCTGAGGATCCTGGGGCCCAGGCTGCATGCCAGGTCCAGAACAACCCAGTGGCCTCTGCTGCCTGGTGTCCTTGGGGGATGAGTTGTAAGTCACCAGGGCTGTTTTCTGCTCGTGAGGCAGCCTGGCGTGGGCACAGGCGGGCCTAGCTCAGGAAACCCATGAGTGGGAAGGGATGGCTCCCTGCTGCTCCTACCCTATCCTGTGCCAGGGCCTAGGGAGTCTCTTGCTGTCCGCTGAGGTTAGGAGCAGGGATCTGGCTTCCCTGACCTTGGGAGGCTGGGCAAGGGGCTTGCACAGAGTTTGGGGGTGGCCCCCTGTGAAGGGGGTCCTGGGGGTGGGGGAGTGGCAGAAGCCACCCAGTGGAAGGGCCCAGAGCCCAGTCTCTGCAGTGATTGGCAGACTGGGATGGCAGTGGGGCATCATCTAGGAGCCGAGATGGGATTCAGGGCCAGTCTTGGGGGAGACATGCAGGGGATGCCTAAGAAACCGTCCAAGTCTAGCACACACCCACCCTGCCCAGTGGCAGTCCCACGTGGAGAACCACATGCCACAGGACCACCTGGCCCCAGCAGGGCTCTGTGAGGCTGGCACTGGGCTCCGCAGCCTGGCTCCCAGCAGGCACTGCAGGCGGTGTGCACGGCCTGGCACCCATCTTGCCAATCACTGGCCCATCAGCAGCCCTGGAGGGCTCCTCTTAGCTGGTCCCACCCCTCAGGACGTGTGGGGCTCCACTGGTGGCCCCAGGAGTTAGGGTCTGCCGGGGTTGGGGACTGACCTGGGCAAGCCCAAGCACTCCGGAGCCTCGTTCCCCTTCGAGGCAGCTGTCCAGACTTACCTTGGTTGGGGACAGCTAGTGAGAAGTGATGGGCGGCAAGCGCCAGGTGATGGCCAGGCGACAGTGAGGACCAAATGATTTGTGAGTCTGGGCTGGAGTGAGTCTGAGCTGCAGGGCGGGGGAGCCCCGGCAGGCGCTCCGCCCACTCCTGCCACCTGGGGCCCTGGCACCGCCCCACTCCCTCCCAGAGCCGTCCCACCAGGCATGCTCTGCCAGCTGCTGGGGTCTCGCCTGTGCGTGGGACGTGCCAGGGCCAGTGGGGCTGGCCCGGTTCTCTGCAGGGTCAGATCTGCACCCCCTCCAGTGGGGGTGGGCCTGGGCACGTCTTGCCTCTGAGGCCCACGGGTGTGAGGGAGCCCCAGTCATCCCGGAAGCAGTGCTCGAGGGAGTCTTTGGTGTAGCTTCTTCCTACAGAGGCCCCGGGCCTCGGCACAGCTGCTCCTTGCTCTGGCCCCTGCTCCCATTCCCACGCTAGTGGTCGGCAAGCTGGGCAGCTGTCCTGGGGTGGACGGTGCCCTGAGCCTCAGCCCCTAGGGTGGTCCCCCGGGGGCTGTAGCCACAGGCCCTCAGGACGTGGCACTAGGGACCCTCCACCTTCTCGGCCCAGGACAGGCCCTGACCTCTACCCTGGGCTGGTCTGGCCAGGCAGAGACCATGCTCCTTCCTGGACTCGCTCACAGTGCCTGCCCACCTTGTCCCCCGGTGCGGCCCAGGGACTACCAGGTGACATGTGGCCCAGCTGCATCCCTCCTGGGTGGGGCCCCAGGGCAGCAAAGGCAGCAGATCAATCCCCAACTCAAGCCCTGCGAAGGCTGGGCCGTCCCAGGAAGGCTTGGACCAGGCCCATAGCAGGTGCTTCTGGGACCTTCCAGGGCAGGGGGCTGGCTGGCCCGTCTGCCTCCACCTAGACTCGAGGACAGGGCTGATGCCACACAGCAACTCAGGCCCTCCATACTCGGTCTGCCCGGGAGACAAGCCAGAGCCCTGCCAGGGTGGCTGGTGAGGGATGGCCCACCTCTGGGGCTGCCAGCCCTCCTGCCGCAGGTCCTGGTGTGCTGCCGACAATCAGGGCGCCTCCCGGGCCTGCTACATGACACTGTGCTGCTGGACCAGAGGCATGTCTGGAAGTGGGGCACAGGAGGGAAGAGGGATTATTTTTACTATGGATTTAGCAGGGGTGGGGAGCTTAAAGCCACGGGCACTGAGCCTCCCCCTAGGGCAGATGGCCACCCCTCCTGGCAGGGTGGAGGATGGGCAGACACCGTCTCTCGTGGCCCTTGGCACGTGTGCCTCATGACTGCACTCACATCCGACATTTGGGCTGGTCTTGTGGGGCGGGTCTCCACAAGGGGCTGCCTGGTGCTCCTCCCGTGACCGGGGCACCCTCCACCCTGGGTTGTAGGAGGCTTGTGCCCACCAGCATCGGGATGTAGCGTGGTTCAGGGCCAGGCGGGGCCAGGGCTGTGGCTGAGCCTGTGGAGTCCCACCCTTGCTCTTGGTCTGGCAATGGAGCCTGCAGACTGCCCTGCTGCGAAGGGGCCAGGCCTGGGAGCACTTCCTAAGTGAAGCTCGAGGCTCCCGGAGGCTGGTGTGCTCAACCACAGCGGCAAACGTCTGCTAAGGGGCCTGGGCTCTGCCCAGCGCAGTGTACCAGGGAGGCGGGCCACAGGGAGGTCGCGTCAGCCGCCAGCACTGGGTGGGACCCAGCAGGGGACAGCGGCCCTCAGCTATGGGTGGGAGGTGGCAAGGAGTGGGTATGGAGGCACAGCCTGTGGAGTTTCTGGTTGCAGGAGGCCTGGGTCACACCTACTGCTGCCTGGACCCTCGGGTCAGAGGCCCCGTGTGGACCCAGGCAGTGTGGGTGGGGCTGCAGAGACACCTGCTCTGGTGAGCTGCCATCCTGAGCCAGGCTTCAGCCCCACATACATTGCGGGCCAGCCCCAAAGGGACAGAGCCCACCAGGTTCTAGGTCACAGATGCACCCTGCCTCCGTGAGCCATAGAGGGAGGGGACTCGAGGAAGAATGACTTTTTTCCCACCTGACTGATGGCACAGCGACAGGGCCCGGGAGACAGGCTCATTTCTGAAATTAGACTGAACTGGGCCACTGGGTGAGGGTGAGGGCCAGTCTCCTTCAGCTGGCCTAGATACGGCTGTCCTGCCCCAGTGCTCCTGAGAACCTGGCCAGGCTGGGGGCTTTGAGATCCCGCTCACACACCGCCCAGCCTACGGGAAGCACAGGCAGCCTGTGCCACTTGTGCCTTCAGGACTCAATCCAAAATGGCAGGAAGCTGGCCCTTCTCGGTTAAGTCCGGGGGTGGGAGGAGGGCAGATGGTACATCGCAAGCCCACAGCCCTGGCTGTCTCCTGGGCATCAGGTCTACCTGTGGCTTCTCTGGGCAGTCTTGGTCTGGGATACCCGGGGGCATCCGTGGGCAATGTTTGGACACACTAACCCTAAACCCAGCCCCTGCAGGGTGTCCAGGCCAGGTGCAGTCAGGACGGCCCATGGCTGGGGCGGCAGCTCCGTGTGGGAGACAGCCCTGCCCTCTTCTCCAGGAGCCCACCACGTGTGGGGCCAGGCTTAGGCAAAGGGGCTGGGCAGATTGTCCCGGGAGCTCTCTGAGGAGGATGGCACCACCCCGGGGAGGCCAAGTCACCCCGCGAGCCCCACTGCCCTCCAGCCAGGGCTCCCACCGCCACCTCCCTCTTTCCGGCCTCCCTAGGGCACTCTGGTCCTCATGGTCCCCGTAAGCTGTCATGGTGCAGCAAGGTGGTCACCTCCATGGGAGCGCAGCGCGGCAAGGGCATGGTGAGTTTGAAGGCCCGGCGCCGCCGTGACTCAGGCTGTTCAGGCCCAGTCTCAGTCCCCTCCTGTCCCCCGTCCAGAAATCTGTGAGTGGCCGAGAGACTTCCCTTGGCCCAGGGCCGTTCGCTATGTGGCTGAGACAGTGTGCCAGCTGTCTTCTCTGGGCTCCTTGGAGGGCCCTTCCACTCAGCCACATCCAGGTCACTGACCTGACACCTATGTGGAACTGCCCCAGAGTGTCCCGTTACTGCAGGTCAGCATGTCCCAGCAGGCCCCGCTGCCAGGACCGTCCCCCAAGCTCGTCTCTGCTCTGTCACTGCTGACCCAGACCTCAGACCTGCCAGGGTGCTGGGCACCTGCGGCTGGAGCCACGGCACCCACCGGCACCCAGCCAAGCACCAGGGTGTGCAAGCACGCCGCTCACGTGCCGGGCAGAGGCTGGAGACCACCTGCCCCAAGGCCTCCGGTAGGAAAGGCTCCTCACACCTCACCCCTCCAACCTCGCACCCCAGGCAGACTCAGTTACACACCTGTCCTCTCCGGGCCTTCAGGCTGCCCTCGGTGACCTGGCCCCTGCCCTCCTCCCGACTCCACCCTCATCGCTGCCACACACGCGCTGGGCTGTGAGGCTCTCTGCTCTGGCTCTCCTTCCTCTACGACACCCTCTCCACGGACCCCAGCACACAGAGCACCCTTGTCTGCACAGCCGACTCGTGGGCCCGTGTGCCTGTTCTGAGCCTCGTGGTGAGCACCACCACATGGCCCCAAGGTCCACCACACATGGGCCACGCCAGGTCTGCAGCCTCCACGCCCCAGACACTGTGCTAACATGCACTCGGAGGTCAGTGGCTGCGCAGTACTGCCCAGTGCAGGGGTGGACATGCCACACATCTGGGCCCTCGTGCCTTGCACCTGGAGACAAGCCCAAGGAAGACCCTTTCTTCAGGCCCGCCAGTTTCCCACCGTGGCAGACTCAGGTCGCTGCGCCCCTCCTCCGCCCAGGCTGTCCTCTGCTAGGTTTCTGGAGCCTTCCCAAATGTCCTCTTTCCCCAGGTTAAACCCTCACAGCGTCCCTGCGCGTCAGGGCGAAGCCACACTCCTCAAGGTGCTGCTGGCTTTGCCCCGCTGCCCAACTCTGACCGCAGCTCCCACTGGCCACAAAGCCTCTCCCTGTCTCCGAATCAGGCCAAGTCGCCCAGCCTGAGCCCTCAGATGCACGGTGACCCTGGTGCAGGAGCACCTCTGGGGTCATCTGTCCATCATCTGTCTTTTCTCCACCTGGCCTGAAGGCTTTAGGAAAGTGAGGACCCCCACGTTGACCCAGCTCATGGCTGGGGACGCTGGTAGAGACGACGACACACAGGCGGTCGGTCCCAAGGCGCTGTCGAGGATACCAGGCGACGCCGATCCCAGGCCACGTGGTCCCGCCCACCGAGACCGTGCCCAGACCCCGCCCCTCCCCGACCAGCTGGTGCCGCCCACCAGGACAGCTAGGCTCCGCCCACCGGGACAGCCCCCCAGGCTCCGCCCCTCCCGACCAGCTGGTCCCGCCCCCGAGGCCAGCTGGCCACGCCCACAGAGACCGCCCCGAGACCAGTTGGCCCCACGCTGCAGATCCCGCTGGCCGCAGTCTCTCGGCTGCCCTGCCGCGCTAGCCAGCTTTTTCAACTTTTGCGCCTTAACGTCACCTCGACAGCTGGAGGAGGTGGGGCGCGCAGATGAGTCGCCGGCGCAGCGGCATCTGAGCCCCGCGTGGGGCGAGGGCACGGCGGCCGGGGTGGAGCCGGGCCCGGGGCGGACAA